AGGGAGGGGGGGGGTTCTCCACAACCCCGGCTAGAGCATCCTGGGTGGGCGTGAGTGTAATTGTTAGTGACGTCACATACCATTACAGTCCCAAACTGTCCTCTGTAATACGATTGCTGCTAGTGAAATAACCACGTGGCAAAGCCTTAATCTGTTATGTATCAGTTTAATGGGTAAATTTCAGTTCGTAAGGCCAAGTGTGCGCGCGTCGCAGGCGGCCAAGTGCGCGCACGTCGCGGGCGGCCAAGCACGCACACGTCGCGGGCGGCCAAGCGCGTGTTTGTATAACAGGTCAAATTTGAAGCAGCTCTATGAACAGTTGCCTATATACAGAGCCGCCCGTTCTCTTTATTTGCCACGCCATAAAAAATCCAACCTAACCAGAAACGTACGAACCCTATCAACCTACGTAACCTCTCAAGTCCGATGTATAGAAAACGTAGATATTTGTGAGCCGTTACGTATCATATACTGCACTCCTAACGTTGGTTACCATAACGTGCAAAACGCGACCTATTAGTTGAGAGGACGGTTTGGAAGTTGGAACGTAGACAACCCGCCACGGCGTCAACCCCGTCAACCCACCACGGCGTCAACCCAAACATCTGACCACACCTCAAGGCCACCTGCAACAATCACGTCAGCTAAATTGGGGAAAAAATGTGATAGTGACTTACAAGAGAGCAATATATATATATATATATATATATATATATATATATATATATATATATATATATATATATATATAATATATATATATATATATATATATATATATATATATATATATATATATATATATATATACACACACAATATCTTTCTCATTCCTCTTATCTCTTTCTTATTCCTCTATCTCATTTGATTTCTCAAAGTACGAACATTGCATTAGAACTCCCTTTTTACCTGCAAGATAAGATAATCATGGGGAGAAAGCGCTAAGACAATGCATGACTATATTGTAAGGGATATGGGGTGGGAGTGCCCAACCACTTCCGACCATGGGGGATGGAACGCGCAATGCGTGTCTCGGTGTTTGCAAACATTACTAATACTGTATTACTAGCAGAATTTGCAAACTTGTTCAAACCAGTTATAGCCGTTTTCAAACGCCGTTAAATTGTTTGGCGTCACTCGACCAGGGCCAGGATTCATGAAGCATTTACACATCCACTTATGAAACCTGTACATCTTTCCTCAATCATGGCAGCTTTGTTTACATTAAACAGCTTACGAGCTTAACCTATGTTGTTATTGTTATAAACAACCTCGTAGTGCTTCTGAGCTCATAATCAGCTTAATAAATGTAAACAGAGTTACCATGCCTGGGGAAAGATGAGCAGGTTTCGTAAGAGGCTGTGTATATGCTTCACGAATCCTCACCCCTTCAAACTACCAATACCGACCAGCGTGGAGACCTATCTCGTTAAACACGAGATGACCCTGGAGAAAGTTCAGAGATATGCCCACCAGGCTGGTCCCAGACCAGAGAGGTATGAGCTACGAGTTATGACTACAGGATCACTACGAGAAACAGGGTTGCCATTATCACCACAAACGAAAAACTTAGGTAAATAGACAGGGCAGACAAGGAAATACTAAGCCATGGTAGTTTACGAACAAAGGTGCACAGATGGAAACTATATACCCAAATGAGCCACGGAGACAACAGATTTTGTCAGTGCCTGAATAGTAAACAAATGGAATACATTAATAATTTAAATGGTAGAGACAATAGGCCCCTAAAACTTATACATCAGTCGATTATGAGTTGAGAGACGGGACCCCAAGAACCATAGCCCATCCCCCTAAAGTAAAGGTAAATCTACCAGCCCCAGTCTACCTACACCCATCTACCAGGACCCTTATACCCACACCCGTCGAACAGGAACCTTATACCAACACCCGTCTACCAGGATTCCGTATACCCGTGCCCACCAAAGGTCAGGGCTGTACGCTGTGACTGTCAACCTTGCCATGTCTCAGGAGCCACGTACTCCTTCCTACCTATACCTTGACAAAGGTAAAAACTAGTACCACCACTCATCAAATCCAGGTTTTTCCTTAAGAACAGTACTGAAAGAATTCATGTCATTAGCGGGGCCTTATGCTCTGAACTATTTGTTAGCAGCGCTAGGCTTTAAGAACTACATTTCTCCTGAAGAGCATGAAACGAAAATTAATTTGTCAATACGTAAATATGATCTTTATATTGTACATTATTTAATAAAGAAAAAATACGTCTACAACTTTAATATCAATAATCCTTCTACACAAACACAAAAACTAAGAAAAAACACTAAACAAAATTTGAGCGAAATAAGTTTTTTTTTTGGGGTGGGGGGAGGGGGGGGGGGAATTACAAATACTGACTCGTGCAAGATTCTCACCCACACCTCGGACGGTGAAGGCTCAAGACATGAAGAGCTCCCTCAGACAGTCAACCTTGCGTGTCTGACGGAGAGGAAGACACATTCAACCTTGCGTGTCTACTGGAGAGGAAGATGCCGTCAACCTTGCGTGGCAAGGGTGTCTGACGGAGAGGAAGATGCCGGCAACCTTGCGTGTCTGACGGAGAGGAAGACGCCGTCAGCCTTGCGTGGCAAGGGTGTCTGACGGAGAGGAAGACGCCGTCAACATTGCGTGCGGTAAGGGTGTCTAACGGAGACGAACTGGTGAGGCCGTACTCGGCCAGCAGGAACTGAGTGAGTGTCAGTCGTACAGGCAGTAGGCCAGCGGGACAAATCCCACCCGCATATTAACTTTAGTTCAAGGTGTGACTGACGACTCGAGGCCGAGGACTCAGACTTAACACAATGGGGAAAGTTACCACCACGTGACCGCCAAATCCTGCATGCCCACCACTCTACCCCATAAAACACAAAAATTGTTGCGAGGAAAATAATAAACTGTCGTCATACGCTTATTTGTATATGTATATTTTTAGTTTACAGTTTACACGATATATATCCTAGTTAACACGATATATATCCTGTGTGTGTATTTACTTATTTGCATTTACCTATTTGTACTCGCATGACTAGAGCTTTTAGCTCTAGGACCGTGCCTTTCCAACCGTCAATTGTCTATGTAATGACACTACTTATTTTCTGTCAACTAGATCAACTACTAATCATCATCCCCGGAATGCAACCCACAATTGCTGCTGTTGTTTTAGATTTAGGTACTCAGAACGAAATGTCCATGTAGCACGAGCTATAGTGAGCCGTAACTGAGTTCGGTTATTCGCGATAACACTTGTTACTGCGATATTTGGGTCAAACCCACAACTGCTCTCTCAGGTACCTATATACTACTGATGAAATTAAATTTCCCCAAAAACGTTTTGTCTTGCTGCAGGGATTGAACCAGTGATCACCGGTTATAAGCCGACGACGTAGCTCACTGCGCTACAGATGGGCAGGGAACCTAATTCGAACCCACAACCCAACGACAGCGTTTCAAAGACAAATTATTTTTCATGATCCTGCGAGTGTTTGATGGTTGGTTGGGGTTTGGATCAAGCCAAAACAAGCTAGCAGTGTTGTATTGAAACATTCTCCTGGTATTTTTTAGTGGCTGGCATGGTGCCAGCGATGGTGGTGACTTCTGGGTCACGGGATGTAGCAGGGCCGTGCCTTAGTTATTAAATTAATAACCCTGCAGACCTTGATAGGCTTCAAGCCCAACACTAAATAACCATGTCTTTCCGGGACGGGAACTGAACTATGTGGCAACCTACACTACTCCATAGCCAATAAACAACTTCCTTATGCTATAAAGAATACACGATAACGCAATTTGATAATGAAATAACGAAAACATAAAAAAAAACAATGCGACGTCTCTTGACAGCCGTGCATGTTACACTAGTAGCCTAACTTAACCTAATACTGTGAATTTAAAACATTTCGTTAAGTTATACCAAAATTTCAGTTCAAAATTTTGCTGAAAATCTCCCTAAACGAAGCAACAATTTTTTTTTTGGTTAGATTGTGGATCACAATAATTTCTTGGTTAGGTTGTGGATCACAATAATTTCTTAATTAGGTTGTGGATCACAATAATTTCTTGGTTAGGCTATCGATCACAATTTCTTGGCTAGGCTGTCAACCTCTCTCCACCTCCATGTAACCGCCACAGCCTCCATTACTACCCGTATGTATAATCTGACTCTTAGATATCATAAATATAGGATCTCTGTGACCTGACCGACAAACCTGTTTAGAAGTGTGGATATCAAGGTCTGAGCCACATGCTGGAAACTCCTATCTCCTGGCTGTTTTTGTTTTTTTAATATGTACATACCTGCAGCTTTCATAGGTCAGGTTCCTTCATGATTATTTCTTGGCTGTCGTTCATACTATATCTAGATATGCTCAAATATGAGTACTACGAAAACAAGTAAAGTAGTTTTTCGTAGTACTACGAAAAAGTGATCAAAAGGCTTTGGAAAATCATCAAGACACTGAACAAAAAGTAACTAACCACTTGCCTACTGTAGCTAACAGCCAGTCACAAATATTCCATGTATTGGGGTGTTGGCCATCAAAACTCAAACCGCTTTAATTTAAAAATAAATCTGGGTGGAAAAGGGGTCCAGTTTTAGGTGAAGGGGTCGACATAGATAGATAGATAGATAGATAGATAGATAGATAGATAGATAGATAGATAGATAGATAGATATAGAGTTAATTTAAGTAATTAAAGTGGTTTGCACAGCTTTACCCGTGTAGGGGGGAGGAACAACCCCTTTCATTACCTCCTCCTCCCGCTATTTCCAGCCCTGGTGGCATACAGCTCGTAATTTTCCTCACCTGGAAACTAATTCACATGCTGAGCTAAACACCGACTGCATATATAAAAGGATTACATCTAATATAAAATGACTGAAAACCCAAGTACTTCATTTACTTAACAAAGCTACGATAAGGTATGCTTTATTACTAAACAGCTAAGTGAAAAATCGTGAAATAACATGTGCTACTTTTCATCAGGTGTGGGCGTTGGTCAGGACTTCACGTGCCCTGCGCCAGAGGGACAGTTCGCCAGTGACCAGAACTGCAAAATATTCTACCAAGTAAGATTGATTCGCATTGACATTCAACTAATAGTAGACTTCGCTGAAACTCCACAAAACTAATTATACTGTTATAGTCTATTAACCGACCTTGACTACGTAAACCGGCTACTGTCTGCCTACTATTCTTCCTTTGTGAGGGGCCCCTAATTAAAGAATAAGCCTGTCCTCACTTGATGCCCCGTAATTTTTACGCTATTGACCACAGCGTCAAAATTTTCATAGCTTAGTTAAATTTACAGCAACATAATACCGACGTTCCCGTAGATTAAATAATCGACATCTGACTTTAGGTAAGTTCCCATGGTACGAGGTCTTAATTGGATTAGACAAAACCACTTCAATTTTGCTCTTGTCAAATCGTGAAAGTGGGTTCCTGTCCCACGATGACTCTTTTAGACCTCCCCTTCAGCCCTACCGTATTCCAGTGACAACCTGCTATACGAACCTAGACCCATCCGCCTAACTTATTAAACCCGATGCTTATTAGTCAAAGAAAGTGTTTAAATTAGTATTGTATATGCATTGAGAGGGCGGGTTGCTCGTCTACTGTTAACTATCAAAAACCATACCCTCCCGATCTCTATCTCTCTGAACAAATGCCATTGCTGCGGCACCAGATGAATGTTAAAAGCAATCTATCTATCTGATTCGCAAACAATTCAGCTGCCTTGCATGTTTCACCATGTTTCCTCTTCTCTCCTGCAGTGCGTGGGGAACTTTCCATACCGCCAGAGGTGTGCCGAGGGTTCCTACTACGATGGAAGTAAACATGAATGTGTTAGTAGATTTGATAAAAACATCAAGTGTGGGCCCCAGCCTGTAGGTGAGTATCTGTTTCTCTGTTTGCCTCTGCTAGTCTGTAGGTATGTATCTGTTAGCTTATAGTTAGATGTGACCCGTTTGATTTTCTCTTAGTTGACCTACGTATCATTCTCGTAGAAAGCAATTTGTATATCCTTGTCCCTATGAATTTGAATCCGTTACAATATTTGTGTGCTCTAATAAGCTTGTGCTTCTCTTCGACTTGGTATATTCTTGCAACCATTCATGTTCCCGTTCTACTGAAGTATATATCTTATACAATTTTAAAAATATTTCAACACTACATGTAATTCTTTGATTTAAGTGTTGACCAAACACTTGATTTAATGTAAGGAATGTTCCTTATAAATTGTACCTGATCTCTATTGGCCTAAGTTTGACCCACTGTGACCTATGTTCGAGAATTAAAGGTCACAGAGGAGACCTCAATAAGTTGCGAACAGTTGTCAAGTAGTCTGCCAAATAGTTTTAATTGACCTTTCTTGAACGTGTCTTAACAAATTGTGAATTGTCCATACAGCTGAGGTAGTGGAGAAAGTCGTTGACCCATTCGAAGCCGGCCCATGTGACCCTCTGGAGTGCAGACTGCCCTACTGCCATTGCTCATTGGAGGGCAAAGACATCCCAGGCGGACTGAAGCCTAGTGAGGTACGTATGTAATGTTCTCGCCTGTTCCAAGGCTTTTGTAAATATCCGAGTCTCTAGGTTAGCTTTACACCCCAAGTCTGCATGTTTGCACAGGTCATTTATATGCGTATATACAAAGCTTGTAGCACGTGCTTACAGTGGTGTATTATCTTACGTGCACATCAGAATTCAGTTATACGTATGTGAACCTTGATACATATACCAAAGTTAAGAACTTTCCATAGACACTACCACATCACTACCCAGTCCTCACTGTCCATAGTCATCCCCGCATCACTGAGATTCTGTACCCCATGTTAAAACTGCTCTAGACAATTGAATGTGATCTATGAAGTCTCTCTTTTAAAAGAGAGATCAAGAGTTCCATCAACTAGGGATAAGGTCTATAAGGTCTGTAGCTATGTTAAGCCACACAGCCTTATACCCACTGTGTTTACTCTTGGTGTTGGGAAGTGAGCAGAGATTTGAAAACCTATCCCAAGGTTGGACAAATATTGTGTTTATACGGCGCCAATGACCTTGTTACGGTGCATACAAAATTATTTTAAAAGAAAACATTATAGCATAACTATCACTAGTGTTTACATCACTGATCCTATTCTTCACATCACTGTCCCTTTTCATCACTACACCACTACTCATAGTCATGAACGAGTCAGTTCAAGTTGGAAACCTGTCATATGAAGAAAGATTGACAAAGCTTGGATTGCATTCGCTGGAGGGGCGAAGAGTTAGGGGTTACATGGTGGGGGTGTGCAGGTGGATGAATGTATATAACAGGGGGGATATTGATAGGGGATTAAAAGTATCAACACAAGACAACATGAAACAATGGGTGTAAATTGGATAACTTTAGATTTGGGAAAGACCTGGGTAAATACTGGTTCGGTAACAAGGTTGTTGATTTGTGGAACCAATTACCGCGTAACGTGGTGGAGGTGGGGGTCCCTTGATTGTTTCAAGCGTCGGTTGGATATTTATATGAGTGGGATTGGATGGTTATAAATAGGAGCTGCCTCGTATGGGCCAATAGGCCTTCTGCAGTTACCTTTTTTCTTATGTTTATGTCCCATATAACCGTGTTTTCCTCCCCCATCTTCAGACGCCCCAGATGATCATGTTGACGTTCGATGGAGGCATCAACGACCTCAACTTTGAGACGTTCTCCAGGCTCTTCCTCGAGAACCGCACCAACCCCAATGGCTGCCCAATCCGCAGCACTTTCTTCGTTTCCCACGAGTACACCAACTACCAGCTGGTTGAGGAGTTCTACAGCAGAGGTCACGAAATTGCTGTCGGCACCGTCAGGTAACTAATATATCTCCTGATTTACGTATTCAGCAACATATAGGGTGGGTGTTGTGTTGTCTTAGATTTAGCTACTCGGAACAAAAAGTTCCAAGTAACACAAGCTATGGGTGAGCCCGTAGTGGACATACCTGGCACAGGAGCGGGGCTGTAACTGTATAGCGTGCAGTTAAATCCACGTTTAAGGTTCTGTGATTTTACCATAATTCCTTTCACATAGTGTGGGGGGGGAGAAGCTAAGAAAGAGTTTTATTTATAGATCTGCGAGTGTGTTAAACATGTTAACACTTAAAACTTCAATAACTGCTTTTATTTCTCCCGAAGTTTTTGCTAGTTTTCAAAATGACGATTACATATTCTCTAATAGTTTTGCTTAACAGATTTAGAACTATTTACAGACAATAAGATTATAGACAACTTGCTCTTGAATTAAATTTCAGAACCTTTGGTCGGGATCCAACTCCCACTTGTGGGGCATATCAGCCGATAGGTCCGCTCTTAATTCTCTCTTCCCCGGCAGGTTCAGATATAATTTATATTTACCATACCTTCAAATAGTAAGCAATTTGTTATTGTTTCTTTAGTTTTTCAGTATGACCCAAGCAAATAAAATTACCCTCTTCATCCGTCATCACAACCTCTATATTTCCTGTCTTTTTCTCTCGTACTCTACCTATGTTTTTCTCACCACAAAGTGCAACTTTTACCACTTTTAATTCCGCATCCTACCACCACATGACCATTACCACCTACTCCTACTACCCTTCTGACACTCGACTTCTTCCATCATTGTCTCACTCGATATCTGCCACCTTGCAGCCGACGAACGGGGCTAGAGGACGAAGGAGAAGAGGTATGGATTGGGGAGGCAGTTACCATGAAGGAGATCCTGCAGAACTTTGCTGGGGTAAGACCCAACGACATCAAGGGCCTTAGAGGCCCCCATCTCAAGCCCGGCAGAGAAGCCCAGTATGAGGTAAGGGGAGATGTCTGGGTAAGCACTGGTTCTGAACTATTCTAGGGGAAATGTGGGGATATTATAAGGGTAGATGTTGGCCGAGTGTTGGGTCTGTATGTTCTTGGTGCATGTGGGGGTACTATCGAGTTGTGTTTTGGCGAGTGCTTTAGCTGAACTGAAAATATTGAAATTACCAAATCTAAATGCAAAGCGACTGGGAATTTTATGAGTCATTCTAAGGCCAGCAGTGGATATGTGATCGTGCAGACAGCTTGCCTTGTGGTCTCGGTAAATTTGATAGGCTTCCAGAACCCGATATCTAATGCAATTAACGCGTGTCCTAGTTCAGAAGATTCAGTTCGATTTTAGGCACTATGATTGATGTTCAGGCGTGTGCAGGGTGTGACCTGTTGCGAGTAAATATGAAATACTGTACAAAACATCACCTACAAGGGTGATGTTTTGGGTGAACTGGTGTAGGTGAATATGAAATATTAAAATAGTTATATGTGAATTCTGTAAGAGGAATTTGCAGAATTACTCTGTATCGCCATTAGCACGGTACATCACAAAAAATACTTATACGACATTATATGTCGCTATCACAACACATTTTAACAAAATAAGAAAAATTCCACCAAAGCGTTGCATCCTCAGTATCAACACAGGAATTTTCCCATTGTACTGTCAGCCGAGTTATATCGATCATCCGAGAAATCCACCTGTTGCATATCAGCCCCTGATAACTTCTAGTCAAGTATCGACTCCTGATCAAACAGACTTCCCCCATGCCATTTCTTGGTCACATATCGACTCTGTGAACTCTCTGAACTCTGTACATAAAATTCGCATTCTCTTGGCCACACATTGACATCTAGCAACATACCTTTGTCATGATTCACTAACTTGTATCACCCTTGGCCAGATGTTGAGCCAGTACGACTTCACATGGGATTCCACCATCAACAACCCACCGACAGCAGTTCCAGTATGGCCCTACTCGCTTGAGTATAAAATACCCCACGAGTGCCGCTCAGGGACCTGCCCAACCAGATCTTTCCCAGGTACGCACTATAGATATTTTCCCCATGTCTTACGCTGCTAAGTCATCAGAACGTTCTCAAGTACATCTCCAGGCTGTTCCTCTATACATTACCATATTCCCAGAATAGGCCACGTCATAGGATATGTCCCTGGTAGTATTTTTCATAGTCATTTCTATTTCAATTACCTGTCACTCGTTTGCTTAGTCGGACCTTAGCCAAATACTTCACCCAAGTTGTTCTCAAATACGTCACATGGTGCTCCCCGTCACTCACAGGTACATCATGTTATCTCAAAGTTTGTTCAGTCATTCCAAAATATTACCTTCGTTCTTATTTTTTTTTGAATGTGTGTGTGTATATTCTTATCAACAGAGATTGCTAAATACTTAAGTGCTGTTTATGATGTAAACAAAATGTTTAAAATAGACAAGATTTTCAACAAAGTCTAATTTCTGTTTGATGTTTTTCTTAACTATGTAACTGCTATTTAATTCTATTATATTTGTGAGGAATAATTAGACTTTTCTAAATCTATGTTAATAATTAGTTATAATTAATATCCTTCTCTCCAGATGTTCCACTATTTTCTTTCCATCACTTGGTATAGTGTGCAAGTAATGAGACACTATCCTGTACTTTAGTGCCTCCTGTCTCCATTTTGTATATTGGCACTACGTTCACTGCATTCCAGCCAACGTGATCTGCCAAAAAATGCAGATCATCGTTTCCAATAAATTGTACATTTCCGCAATAAGAGAAGAGCTTTAGTTCCTTTCTTATTACAGTATCTAATGTAAAATTTGGTATGGTCCCATTCTCTTTATTTGGCATGAATGTGTGTACATATGAATGAAAGAAGGCCTTTTATGAACAGACAAATTTAATATTAATGCAAATGTTAAATAATGAACAATGTTTATTCACTCCACAGGTCTTTGGGAGTTGCCCATGAACTCTCACTTCAAGGACTTTGAATACCAGGGAGGTTTCTGCCCCTACTTGGACCAGTGCGCTCTCAGTTACCTCAATGAACCCGACGTGCTTGAGTGGCTCATTTTGGACTTTGAGCGCTATTATTTGGCTAACAGGTATGCTATGTTCTGTGGCTCTGCACATAGACAGAAAACAATGAGCCAAAATTAATTCCAGTTTATGAATGAAATCAAAACTGTATGCACGTGACTAGCACCAAATTGCATTCAAGCTTTTCTCAAAAAGCGTTTCACTCACTTCTTATAATCGAAGCACACTTTTAAAAATGTATCAACAACATACTTTAATGGCATAATTGCCATCAGAACCAAAACATAAATTACCATGACAACACAGCTATGTATAAAATCAGATTGTTCATTTTATTTTTATTTAAGATTTAGGAATGCACGAATTTATTTTATATTGTGGAACTCGTGTCATCCTTTAATTTAAATTGAGAAAAAAAATTAAGAACAATATAAAATAATAAAACTCAAGTTATAAGTTGGTGTTATCATACTGGATCTTTAAGATGTATACACTATGGTATTAACTTATTTTAACAAAATGTAACCTTTTTATTATTATTATTATTATTATTATTATTATTATTATTATTATTATTATAAATTTAGGCTCATTTGCTTTGGAGTTTTTATGGGTGAATTTCAGTCATTGTATGGCGACAGAAGATGCTACTTTATCAGGATGTTCGTAGAGTTCACTTCATTTATCACATGATGCGAGTAAAACACTAGGCTAAGCAAACTGCTCCAGAAATTCTGAAGTTATTAGAACATTCATTATTAATCATACGAATGTGCAGTACATGTTACACTTATTATAACCTAAATAACCGAAATTATAGGTACCCGTAGCGTATATTATTAGTATGGAAGTTATTAGTACAAATTTATTCTGGGTAATGTATTGCATAATCTATGGATTTTTAATTGACTTAAAAAGGATATAACATTTACCTCGACTACTCAGCCGAACAAAATATATACAGTATGACACACTTTAATAATGGAAATTATTTACGCTACATGTATAACAAATATATATAATGTTATTATGCAGGTAAATATATATAACTTAAATATACATGTATATAATACAGTACTGAACTTAATTTTGTTAAGTAAAACTTAACATACTTGTATTTTGCAATTTACGCTTTGAAGATTCATTGTAAAAATTTCAAAATAACATTAATATGTTATCTAAACCATCTATTTATTGCCATTTACTCAACAGAGCCCCATACATGATGGCACTGACAACCAACTGGTTCCAGACCCCAGCCCTGGAAAATGCCCTCCATGCCTTCATCGACTACACCATGCAGTTGTGAGTATTGTATATTGTTGTAGTTGTGAGTGGATTTAATGAGTCTGTGAAAATCCTACCAGTGTACAGTATTATGAACATCTATTAATGGCAGTTGTGACCACTGCATCTATAGCTTGCTAATACTTTTTAATATATGTAGTTCCGTGAATTTGTTCATGGAATATATTATCTTATTCTCGATAGATTTTTCTACTGTATAACTGTCTGGTATTTTCTCAATCGGCTAAAGACATTTATAGCATTTATTTCGAATAAAATATATATACTGTATATCTGTATACAGTGTAAATCAATGAGAAAATCCACGGGCGGCGTAATGAGGGTTCGAACTTATGCACTGGGTGTTCCCAGATGCACGATCTAGTCGACTACACCACGACATGGGAAAAATAATTGTAACCTGGGGTACTACTGCACCCTCGAGGATCCCGAGGCTTCCACTGAAGCCGAACCAGGGTTTCACACAATTCTTCTCATGCACTCTGGCTCTGTTGTCCAGTAATTCTACCTCTAACGACACTCTTTCAATACACAAACATAGGTTCAAACCCATTTCACAGCTCCTGTGGATTTTCTCATTGATATATCACGATAATGCGATTTGTGTGTATGTAAATCAATATTAATTTATATATTACCTGGAAAACTCGAAGGATAATACAAAAAACATCATTATTTACAATCGTCATTCCCTACACATTTTACTTATGTTTTTAATTTCCCGTGATAAACAGCGAGGACGTCTACTACACTACCATGACCGAGACACTTCAATGGGTGACGACACCACAGAGACTCAACGAGCTCTCCCGCTTCCAGCCTTGGGACTGTAAACAGAGAGTTCTCCCTGACCCACCCTGCACTACTCCAGAATCCTGCAAGCTCACTCTGAACCCCAAGTTTGACAACAACACTGAGGCTCCCTTCGGTTCCAGGTGGGTTATTGTGTGTTTCCCAGGGATTATGGAAAGGACATTTGATGGCACATAACTGAACTTTATTTTTTTTTTTAGAAAGAGACTGTCGACATGAGCTGCATACTTCATTTGCAGTATACTGGTATACAGAATACTGGTCTCATATAGGTAGTGTAAAGTTATTGTTATCCAGACTTGTGAAAGCTAATCAGATGTTTGCCAGCTTTAATTCCTGTTGTCTGCGACAGGAAGCCTTTAGGCTTCCACACACACACTTTAGGCTTGCATCGACGTCCCCCCCCCTCCATCCTAAGGTCGAACTTTGGACCTACCCCAGGATGCTACCTCGTAACAATTGCCTTAGGTAAATGGATATATTCCCAACCATTTCTGTTCTGTCTGGGAATCAAACCTGGGATCTCCGATTGTGTGGCTGATGTGATTCTGTTGATATTCATGTTGTCGGGAATAGGAAGGCTCATATTGCATTACATTAATAATATATTATATATATATACACAGAATATAATAAATATGAGGGTACCCGGCGATGCCCGGGATGGTCTGTCTCCCCCCCCCCCCTATCCCCCGTTCCACCCCTTTCCTTTCCTTTCCCTCTTTATGACCCCCCCCCCTTCTTCCCCGCCCAGTAAAGTACTACAGACTACTTTTGAGTACCTTCACACTGCCGAGTGTGAAAGGTGTGTGAGCACGGGGATGGTGTCTTGCGCATAATTCGTGCACCAAAGAATGGCCCAAGGAAAAAGCAGGATTGAGAGGAACCGATGGGGTGCACAATAAACTAGCCGCCTCAGGCGGCAACAATCAATCGGCCCATTCCAGGCCTATTAAGTAATCAAGTCTTGGAGAGGGGAAAAGTCTTAATTCCTCCTTCTCCAGTGAAGAAAGGAGAAACTGGTTCCGCGCTCCTCAAAAAGGCTGCGTCTTGTGCGAGCTTTATTTCTGAGGTCGGGCGAAACACAGAATGAGGAAAATAATTGTAATAAACTAGGCAATTGTAGTCAATGAACAGTAATGAACTGTGAAGTAAACAGACTACTGAGTAAATGATTACATCTGTGTATGCATGACGGGAAGGGCCATGAGTCTTCCCCACCGTCAGTATGGCTGGCGAGCCCCCACACCTATTACCTACAATAAGCAAACTTTGGACACTTGGCTAAGATTTTTGGTACTCCATCTATTTGAATGAAGTACTTTTTCGAGAATTTCGCATTCGATTATATAGTGACGCTGAAAAGTTCTGCTGATAGTTTGAATTTAGTCAAGTCTACATCAGCAGGTCCTCCGCAATTGTACTCGTCTAATTGTGCTTGCGGGGGTTGAGCTTCGGCTCTCTGGTCCCGCCTCTCAACAGTCATTCAGCTGGTGTACAGGTTCCTAAGCTTATTGGGCTCTTATCTTATACAGTATACAAATTACATGCCTGCAAACTTCCCTAGCTAAAAGTGTGCTCATGGCGATCTACCGAGCAACCCGTTCTTCTCGATAGTACATCCCATTTGGACAATTTCCTAAGGCCAAAACAAAAAATGGTAGCCGCTCGCGAAATTGACGTGATGTCCCAATTTTTGTTCGCGAATCCTCGGGTAGGTTAGGTTTGGGCAATTTAGTACCCTATTTAAGTAACGTTGGAAACACTCGGAAGAACGGGCTGAATCGTGAGCTACGAGTCTCAAGATGAAACCTTGTCAGTTCATTTTTTTGTTAATGACAGAACAGTCACAGAGAATAAAATATTGATATTGTTGGAAAAACAGTTAAGATTGTTATAACAACATTGCAAAATTGCTTTACTTACATTCTAGGAAGCTGTGAAGATTATGTCATCCTCTGCTGCACTTGTGTCTTGTTCAATTTACTACAATACTGTTCACGACAATATAAGGTTCTTAATACTGTATAAGGAGTCCATCAGTCACTTTACACAACTTATTTTTAGGCTTTCACTTCACATTATGATGGGCCTACTTCTAATTCGCGTACGTTTTGCCCGGAATGCTATGCGTGCTAGTGTTTTACAAGAATGTAATTTCAATTTGAACTCTATGTTCTCTGTTAACCCGCAATGTACCGTCTTGTATATAAATAAATAAATAAATAAATAAATATGAGTAAAGCACTGATAAAATTGCCGAATGTCAGCCGTAACACTTCCGTCTGGTTCTGTAATTACACTCTGTACAGTTCCGCAATATTTACTTCATATAAAAACCAGAGTGCTTTGATTTTCTCCATTCCTTATGCACCTACACCCATCCTGGGTGACTTCAAGTATCTTGCTTTGCATTCAGTTGACGCTAAAGATGCGTCACAATTAAAATAATGAGCGTCAAAGCTGGGCTCGGCCACATTAGTCTACAGTAAACACAGCCTCGCCGTCTCCCACGTCCGACACGACGCGTCCCGTCGCCTGGAAAATAAATAACTAGTGCCACAACATTCTATTAATAACACTAATACACAAATAGAAATGTTTTAATAATAGTTGTTTTTTAATATATTCTTAAAATAATTTTGTAGCTTGTTTCATTGAATTGTATCGTTTTAGAAATATTTAAGCTAGTTTTTAATCTACACTCTTAAAATCTGTTATTTTATTCATTTCCTTATTTTATTAATTAAGGTAGCAGCAATGTGCTTCCGATATTCTAATTTACCACATTAATTTAAATTTTCTTTAATTGATAAAAATAATTTACGACTCATTGATGATCGAGGTCGGTGGCTACTTTCCTGTCCCTATATTTCCTGCACTTTTTTCCAATGTATTGATGTGCTTCTTGAGATGTGGGCAACACACAACGTTGCACATTTCAATTTTGATTTCACAAACGTCGTGAACAATTTTCGTATTTCACCAAACATGCATTTAAAAGCGATTCTGAAGGTGGAAAGTGTAGCGTAGGTTCCTCAAACGATGTTCTTATCACGTGGTCCTTTCCAGAACTACCCCTACATATGTATATTTATGTGTGTGTGTGCGGGGGAAGGTGTAAGTGTACGTCTTTACATGTACACTGCATATTTAATATGACAGTAAAGCAAAAATATTATGCTCGTTATATAGTAACAGTTACTTATGAATGAAATAAGCGACATATACAACTGGCCAAGAGGGTACTGATTTTTCTTCTTTTCTTCAGGTACATGGTAACTTGCTATGGATGCCCACAGACGTACCCATGGGTTTGGGATGCTACAGGGTTATCTCGTGACAAGGACACCTATACACAGTATACCAATGACCGGGCAGATCTTGCTGCCCTCGACTCAGCCACTGCTTAAGGTCCCCCCCTACTATGTCATTAATTGTTTAACAGAATTTTTTCTGCTATCTGAACTGGTATATAAATAGCCTAAACATGCAATTAAGTGTCAGAATTTTATGATTTTCCTCCAAAACACAATCAGGATTTTTAGTATTTTTCCCAAGTCCCCAATTGGGTTCCTGGACAGGAAAATTGAATATATTGTACTGTCAACTTTACGGAAAAGATGAAAATTGAGTTTAGTCATTAATGTTTATGTGACCAGAAGCTTAGAATAATGGTCATACATCAAGATCAGAAAACCTAATTATCGAATTAGTAAATTGATGCTTAAAGCTGTACATATTTTGTCTTTTTTTATGTGTTTACTGTTTTGGTGGTTTGAATCGTGAAGCATCGGCCATATATTCATCAACATCAGAGAGCTCATTGAAGGATTCAGTAAGGGGCCTTAGTTAATATTCCACTATACTGTATTTGCGTTTGTGTAGTGAGTCAGTGAGTGCTCTTTACTGATTACTTCTTACAGACCACCTGCATCTTATATTATCGACCTGTGTATATGTGCAATGTGACGATGAAAAATATAAGCCACAAAAACACTTTGTTTCATTAATCAAATCACAATCTATCTATAGGAAAAAAGAATGTCTATCTGTTTGTTTGTCCAATGTTGGAGGCCTGCTTGGGGCTACCGTAACTTTATAGTACCCAGTGCCCCCTCTGATGGGGGGTATGGCCCTTATGCCCCTCCTTCACAAAGTCTGTGGATGTGAATTTTTACCTGATTTTATTCATGTTAGCATTAGTTTAGATAGTGGATTCAGATAGACTCAAAACGCATATTCAGATGATAGCTTTGTATTATCGATACACCCTTTTAGTTACCTTAATGGGGAGACCCCATGCATGAGCTGATAGAGATATGGGATGGGTGAATATATGTGGGAAGGGAAGAGAAAATTGGGAAATGTGCAGGCAGGGAATGGTGAAACTGGAGAAGAGCATGTGTTTGTGCTGGGAGAATTTGGGGTAGGGCATGTGTGTATGTGCCGAGAGATGGGGAAGTGCATATGTGTGCTGGGAGATGAGGAAGGCCATGTGTGTGTGGTGAGAGAATTTGGGAAATGGCATATGTGTGCTGGGAAATGGGAAAGGGCATGTGTGTGCCCTGGGAGGAGATGGGGAGATTGTTACAATGGGAAAAAATGAGGAGTGTGTGTGTGAAGAGAGGCTGGGAGGGTGTGTGTATGGGATTGTGGAGGATGTAGGAGGGAAACCTGGGCACTGGATTGACCTAGGTACATAAGTATCTTATAGATACTTATAGGTACCTATAAGTATCTACACATCTAGTATCTATAAGAGAATATCTGTGGTTGTCCAAGGTTGGAGGGCAGATTTTTAGGGCTAAGTAATTAACAAAAGAAGGCACCAAGTCAATGTTTGGGGCTAGCCTCATCAAACTTTGCAGGATCAAAGGTGATTTTTTCATTGGAGTGTGTCATAAGGGGGTTGAGAGTTGGCAGCCATGCCCTCCTTGAAGGGTATTGTGAAGTGGGCTATACCCCACTTCACAAAGTTGGTAGATATGAAATGTGTCATCTAAATTTTGTAGAATTTAGCATTCATTCAAATATCAGTGTATTCAGAAAGTGATCCGAAAAACATATATTCAGATGCACTTTTTCCAAGAAGTGCTGGACCAACCGGGTTGTGGAGGATATGTGGACCTGCGGGCCACTCCAAGCAACAGTCTGGTGGACCAAACTCTCACAAGTCAAGCCTGTAGAAGAACTCCCAGAACCCCCATCAAGCAGATATCAAGCAGATGACCGACTTGCATTCTGGGTCTGTAACTAACCTCTTTGTTACAGTGATGGATATAACATGTAGGAAAAATGATTATAATGATAGGGGGGGGGAGGGATGGTGTATGGGAAGGGACTGGAGATGTTGTGAAGATGTTTACAGTAAAGACAGTGTATTAAAGAGTGTTACAGCAATGGAGGGTGAGAGAGTTTTCATCAGTGTGTTATAAACTCAAACTCAATACTGTTAATCATGTTTTATTAATTGTCTCTTTCCATCAAAAGTATTTGTTACAGGGTTGCATGGCTGATTTAAGAAATTTTTTATTAAACATTTTGATAATGCTTTCTGAAGTGTGAACAAAATGCTTAACATACTTTAGCTAAACCTTATAAAATATTATAACACCCAAGAAGATTTTATCATTATTGCCACATCTCCCACTTCCATGGCCTTGGTCTGAAAAGAGTAGGAGAGCAATATGGAAAAAGCATTTTATAGATGCTTAAAAGGACATCTTATCCATCAATTGTCTGATTTCTGACAAGTTCAACTCAAACTTTATCCAAGATCAAACAAGTCCACTACAAAATAATACAAATTTAATGTATCCTTGTCAAAATCTGATTTTGGTAATGCCTAAACCTCCAATAGTATATCATAACAAAATAACCATGTTATAATAAATGTACATTCAGACGTGCACAACACAGAACAGCACAACAATCACTTTTTTGCAACTTTGATACAAATTTCATTAAATAATGTGTGTTCATATAAACACTTAAGATTCCTTTGTGTTCATGCTGTGCAATTATAATTACAATAATTTGATTATTAAAGAGCAAAACTAGCAATCACAATAAGATATGACAACAAGATCCACATGTCACATTTAAACACTGTAATAATGGGAATGTAACATGAATATTTGAACTATATGTACATAAAACCTGCACCATAATTAAACTAACAAAATATTGCCTGTATCATTGAATGCTTACAAAGATATTGTTCATATTGCACACCATACTAATTTAAAATATTGGCACCTACAATTTTAATATTAATTCAGTACACTGTACACTACTGTACTATATTTATGGCTAGCTCCGACAACCTTTGAAAAGTATTCTAGTACAAAGTAATACTAGAAATAGGTATTTGACAATCAGCTTTCACGTTCGTAATTTACCAGTTCTCGGTAAATAAAAACAAACACAAGATTAGCCCCAGTGTGTGTGATGTTCTTTATCACCAGTAGGACCGAGTTACAAATTACCTAACAAATGGTCAATACACGATTTGCTGTTATATGTTTTATAGCAGTTGCCTTCTGTCAAAGTACCTAGACAACTTCACAGCCAAATGTATGAAACAATGCATTGTTTGTATCAACTAATTGAACAGCAACACCTTTTGTGTATCTGTGACAAGCAAACCTGAGGTACTGTTTCCTGACGATAGTATATTTGACTAGCTTTTAAGGCATCACATAAATGAAATTATAATTACTATAAATTATTCTACACTACAGATACTAATTTATTAAAATTCCCCTGAACAATGCATTATTAGCACATTAAAAATGTTGATTAAGAAAGCTTAAATTAGTTTTAAGGTCCAAGAGCACTGAGGAATATAGATACTGTACAAGTACTGTAGTTGTTTTTACTTGTTCAATTGCACTGTATACAGTTATAGCATCTAGATTACCATTCATAAATACTGTAAATAAATTTGTCACTATAACTGATGAAGACTTACAAAACTTTATAAATTACTGTACGTTTGATAAAAAATTTCAGCACAAATCTCTAAAAAACAAAAAAATTGTTGGAGAGTGTAGCTGAATATTTGTCTGATACTATACTCAACTAGGTATTGCAAGTTGTACTAAAACATCATACTGGAAGTATCTGCAAACTTATCTAACTGTACACTGATTAATGTAAGAGAAAACAAGTAGATATGTGTATAAAGTATGGCACACTTACATAATGCCTTTTCAGACTTTCATATGATTGATAAATAAATAAATACCAGTGAAGCTCCATCTAAGGTATGTTTACAAATTGCTGCACCATAAATAACCTCACTTTACAAAAATGCAGGCCCCAGAGCCTGGCCGAGAGCTGAAGAGAACACTACTCATATCTCTGCCATCTGCTGCTGCTTCTTTGCTGTAAAAGTCCTCCAGCAGCACCTTCTTATAGTTTTCTACATCATCCTCTTTCACCAAGGCTACTATGCACCCACCCCATCTGTGATGAGCAAATTAGCATTTTTAAAAGCAGCAGTAGTGCTTCATACACAAGAACTTAAAATATATTCACAAACTACTAGATACAGTACTCATAATTGAAACAAAATACTGTACAGTACTATTTTTGGCATCTTTCATGCTACAGTAATACATTTGAGGATATAGTAAACTGTAAACCAGTAATACAACTCATAATTTGCAGCGATTAAAACTAAAATGAATCTTAAGGAAACTCAAGCTGCGAGTTATGAATATGAATTTCTCCTTGTTAAGTAAGACACTTGGATGCTTCCTAAGACGAGATCCATTCTGGTCCTAATGGAACAGGATCATTTCTCCAGTTTTTCCCAGCAACTCCCAAGCACTACTATGATCCAGTAGAGATGCTTATAAAGAGCCTTGTTGTGTCAGTGCAGAATATCTCGCTGCCATTTGTCATGATCGAGTTTATTTGGAATAGGAATGAATCTTGTTTTGAAAAGCAGTCAAGAGAAACAGTTTAGAAATAAAGTGTAGATATATTAAGAACACTCAATAAAGAATTAAATTATTATTATTATTCAATAGGGTGTTTGCAAAATATTAAAAGTTCTATACCCAAAAAAATCAATGGACAATAGCAAACTTACCCAGCTCCAGTTAGTCTTGCTCCTAAAGCAACTCCTTGTGAAAGATTAACCAAGGCATCAAGTTTGGGGTGTGAACACTCGTACAGTAATTGAGTGGATCTATGAGAGTCCAGCATAAGTTTCCCCAATTCCTCCAGGGCTGTATCACTCTTTTCCTCACACACACGCTTGAATTCCCATACACGGTGAGCCTCAGAAAAAACATGCAGGGCACGGTTGTGTAGCTTGAACTCTTGAATGTCTCTCGTATTTTCACTCAAAGTTAGCTGAAAACATGTGCTTCGTTATGGATGGTACAATATTTAAATTTTACTAATAATAATAGAATGTAAACCCAAATTTGACCATGTTTAGACAATTCAAGTTTACTGAATGTAGCTACTATTGCAATAAACTTGCCATAGCATGTTTATAGCTGTAGAAATTTATCACAAACCTAAGTTGTCAATTGCACAAAAACCAAGCAGGTAATGAGTTCTGAGGAACACACACAAATGTTACAGCAACTAGAAAAGCATAAAAATGGATTTAAAATTGACAAATGCAGTCCATTTCTAACAAATGCAGAGCTTTAAGCAACAGAAAAGAAAACAGAGGAACCAAAAAATATTGAAATTGAAGAATCAATTTGTGAAAAGGAGCTGGGAGTCACAATTAATAGCTACTAAATCTAAAGAAAGCAATACATAAATTTTTGAAATAAAGCCAATCTAGCATTAGGATTCATAGTTAGCATCATTGATTTTGGAAACTGTACTATGTAACATGTAAATGTTCGAGGAAATCCAAAGTATGAATAAGTTAATTCAACACACTAGGTAGTGTGTAAATGGATGAAAGGGCTTAATTGCAAGGATATAAATAAGGTTCTAAAAACAGAATACAAAATAATAAATTATGTTAAATTTAAAGTAACAAAAATAAGGAAATTGACGAATGCTGGCTTAGAAATAGGGTTGCAAATCTGTGGAATGCATTACAATAGAAGCAAACTTGCTGAAAGTTTCAGCACACATCAACAGGAAGCTTGTACTTAAGTTTTTTGAGACTTTACCCTTGGCCAGTTATTGACCTTTCCCAAGATGCAACCCATAACTGGCTAACTCTTGGGTACATATTTATTACTAAATGAATAGCAAAATTAGGTGAAAGGAAATGTGCCTAATGATTCTTATGTTAACACGGGAACCAAACCTGAAACCCTCATTTGAAACCTGATGATGTAGTCCACTGCTCTACAGCGTCCTGCCTTTTACGAGTCAAAAAGCCATCAGAAAATTCCTTTATTCTTATGTTCTATATCACAGATAAAGTTAGTCTAATATTCACCATTTTATAAATATTTCTTAATTTAATCCCATTCTGTAGCACTATTACAAAACTAAATACTCAACCTGTACTGTACGTCCATAATGAAAAAGAATGACTCAAGGTTTGAATGTCTGCACCAATTCCAAAGATTACAGTGTAACTTGCACTTTACTGTATATCAGTAAAGTGCAAGTTACTCCAAAATTACATCACCATTATATCAGATTAATGAAACATAATGCAAAATACTGTACTCTGATTAAACTTGTAACCAACATCTTTTAGAAAGATTGTTAGAAGTAAAGACTGCATTACACTTTACAGAACACCAATCTATCACTGAACAATCTTCAACCCAGACCTTTAAATAACTGTATAAATCTCTCGGTACACAATAAACAAGCTTACCTGATCTAATTCTTCAGAAGTGGTATGAAGCATTTCACAAATCTCTTCCTTGCTATAAGGCCGAGGCTCAAATGTCTCAGACACAAGACTGATCATCTGTGGCAGACTCTTCCCCATGATTTTTTGCAGTTGTCCTAATTTGTTGTATTCCCGCCAGGCTAATCCTGTCATAATTTGCAGATGAGTATTTATATCAGTAAATATTATATTTTTAAGAGGACAATGTTAATTGTTAAACAGTATTTAATGAGAACATTTTTTTGGAGTACATATTGTAAACTGTGATTATGTTGTTACCGAAGAAAATTTTTCTAAATATGTTGTCGGGGTAATAAAGAATATCTTTCAACAAAATGCATATACTGTATACTAAAGTCTTGATTGTCTCTTATGATAAACCAAAAATATAATTTTTGTAGGTTTTCAATGACAATACCCGAGTTGTAATTCCATGTTTGCGGCATAAAAACACTTCGTTATTCTCACTAAGTATCCAGGCAAAATCCTTAACTCAAAGAATACATTAATATTACTGTATAATTAATGCAATAGTAAAAGATACAATTTCCTAACCATGATGAATTCGATACATACCTGGCATTTATTGCTAAAAGTGATTATTAAAACAATATTATTATTACATGACAATTTCTTAAGGAGCTACACTACTGATAAGCAATTACGGTACCAGTAAATAAATTGTACAGAACAGTACTGTATATGTAAATATTTTACACTCGGATAATGTATTGTACCTCAATAATTAAGCAGGAAAATTGTAGATTTGGTTCTCAATTCAATTGATTGATTTTTTGATGAATGGCATTCATAGAGAAGTGCTGTAAGAAATCTATTATGCAACATTATGGAACTTTGTGCATGCACAGAGTAAATTAGTTACTGTATGTGTGTGTACAATATAGGTAGAGTACATAATCAAATACTTTCAAATATGTATATAATACTTGTGTGTGTTGTTGTGCAGGGAATGGGGATATACAATGCATGAATTGTATTCATGAACAGTTTAGTATGCATGAAGTGTACAGAACTTCATGCATACTAAACAGTTATCAATGTACACATTGTACATGTACAATGTGAACTTGGATACCCCCTAAAACCGATTATTTTTTAGTAGCAAACTGGTGACAAACTTACGTTAAGGTCTGTGTGTACAGTGGGCCCCAGCAGCTGTTTCATTCAACTGCCTCACTCGATTCTTCTTTGCTAATTGATATAACTAATATACAGTGAAAAAACTATTACTGTACCATTACCTGCTTGTTTGGCCATTATTTGTGTTGCTAAACGACACTCCATGACACGGCAGTTAAAGCTTGAATTGGCTGCTTTGTTCATTGGGGCTAAACTGTTAGCCACCACAAATATAGCTCCTGCAGGTAGATTAACTGATGTTGCTCGCAATGGATTAAACTCAATCACTTTTGCCGTGTCTGAAAAATTATAATAGAATTGGGGTAGATATTTTAGAGATGGTGTTTAGTCAGACATCATATGCATGTATACATAGATGTATGAAATCACTAACTCTCAAGATCCCTCAGAGGATATGACCCCACTGTCAGGGTTCTTTCTATCAACAGAACTGGTACAATGACCAGAGATTATTTTATGTACCATAATACAGATTGATCCAATATAATTAACCAATTGAATTATGTATATTAAGGTGGGCTACATAGTTTATGGATTATATCTTAAACCATATTAAACTTAACTGAATTTGGCAATCTGTAATGTTGTTTTGATCACACAGATTAATGCAGCACCCTCAACATGCATGTCAGAATCTAAACAAGGAGGCTTTCATGTCCATTCACATTGCCTATGTGAGACCATTAATTGAATATACAGCTCCAGCATGGAACCCACACCTTGTAAAGCATAAACAGAAACTTGAGAAAGTTCAGAAGTTTGCAACTAGATTAGTGCTGGAATTGAGAGACCTTGGATATGAGATCAGGCTAAAAAAACTTAGCCTCTCAACCTTAAAACCTTAAAGAAGAGAGACAGAGGGGATATGATGCAGAAGATGAAGAAACGATAATGTTTCAGTTCGTTCTGGAACATTATCATGTGTGAATCAAGTCATGTGACACACCTGACTTGATAATGGTCCAGGATGGATTGAAACATCGTTGTTTCTTCATCATCTGCGGTGTGGTTTGGAAATATGATAACTATATGCAAGATCTTTAGGAAAATAACTAAAGTGGATGAAGGAAACCTATTTAAATTGAAAAGAAGTAGGACAAGGGGACATGCTGGAAGCTGGACTTGCAATCGAGTCAAAAAAAAAGATTCAAGGAAGCTCTCATTTCCAGTACACATGGTCGAAAGGTGGAATGTACTGAAGGAGAGGATGTTGAAGTCAAATCCATCCACAACTTAAAAAGAAATACCGTATTGTATAATAACATTATTTGAAAGAGATAATTAGCATGCCAGGTATAAACTACTAGGAGATGGGGCATAAAGAGCTAGATCTCACTTCACAATAGTCACTGATAGGTAAGCAAATAGCAGAATAGACTACACTTAATGATATGGGTGCACAGAATTTAGCCCACTCAAAAACAAAACTGTAATGAAGTCAATATGTTACAACAAAAATATGCTAAAATGTTTTCTTAAACTTCTGAAAAAAAAATCATTTTTAATTTTATCTCCCATTGGATCACACCAGAAATTATTAGAAGTACAGTACTAGACTGTGTTTAATAATGATCAAGTCTTAGCAAAATTGACCGACAGAGTTTTGGAGTCTTGCTTCCTGGCAATTTTTTTTGTTATGACCTTCAAACAAACTAGACACTGTATAAGGAATATATATCAACAGCATAAAACAAGGTCATGCTAATGTATTAAGTATTAAGTACATTGAAATGAAATGCTCATTTTCAAACCGAGACCTCAGTTGACCCTTAAAGCTAGCAGCCAATTTGGGTTTAAAGACACACATTCCACCTGTCAGGATTCATTAACCAGTTGACCCATCAGGGCAAATAACGTTTTATATAAAGTACAATAGACTGATTACATACCTGGACGAGACAATGGCCTTAGTCAAATATAAACTAATTTAACTAAGCTTAACCACTTGTTGTAAAACTTGGAAGAGACAAACCTTGCAAGAAGGAGCATGGGTTAAGGAACAGAGCAAAAGAAGGGACACGAAGCATGGACATACTGGAGTGATGCCACAACATGGCAGTGTATGAGGGACAGCAGGCCAGTTCAAACTATCTAGGATGAGGAGCATGCCAGATTGAAAAGCATGTGATTTATTCTTGGCAAGGAACAAAGGAGAAGGCAGAATTCAAACCAACTGAATGTCACAACCAAACACTGCATTCACTAGATGACAATGGAGGGCATGGAGCTTACTGACCCAGTTAACAGAGTCCAGTGGAAAAAGAAACAAAGCCGTAGGAGTGATATCTTAAAAAAAAAAAAAAAAAAAAAAAAATCTCAAACCAAAGTCCAGCGAATAAGAAGGTTCCAACAGCATGGGAGGACCAAGATGACAAAAATCCTTTTCAATAAAACCATGAATCACCCCCATGTTGAGAGAACAGTCTCAAAAGATACCCAGACAAAAGAAAACTTAATTGGCCACTACAGAGTTCAGAACTAAAAGTGAGAGTAGCCAGCTGTTTCCATAAGGTACACGTTTGTTACAGTTAAGAGTGACATGCTCTTGCGTAGGCATAATGGTGAGCTAATATCCTCGGTCATGGCTTGAGTTAGACTTGCCACTGTCTCCCTTATCTTGATACATGACAGTACTACTAGCAAAGAAACCAGTCATCATATGATAAAAGTCTCAAGAATCTGGTGGATGATACAAGTCCTGGATGGACCAAATAGCAGATGATTATGAGGACACCATGAAACCTTTCCTTAGAAATAAAAGCAAACATAATAACCTTTAGTTGCAAGGAAAGATATTGCTTGGTCCATTCCTCCTCCCTGTGTTCCTATGTGTGTCTCACAGTGGGCACAGATTTCAGCAAGCCTGTCCTTGGCCAGAGAAAGACTGTGGGCATGTGCAACAGCCAGAGCAGCAGCACACACCAGGGCCGAGGATGATGATAGTCCAGACGAGGGGGGGATGTTGCCTCCAACTACCATGTCCAACCCAGTCATGGCCCCCACAATGCCACCTTCATCCTGGATTCCTTTAACTCCACACAGAACATAGTTAAACCATGCAGGCTTATTTTTGTTGATCCTGATAGGAAAATATTAAACATTAGTTTTTAAAAACATACAGTATTAGCTTCATTATATAAAAAATGTTACCTTGTTTTTTATAGCAACTCCATTCCTTCACTCTCCTTTTACAAAAATGTATACTGTATGCTGTACAGTAGTTATAATATGAGTGCGAGTGTGTGTGTATATATAGTGTGTACAGTATATATAAATATTAAAAACTTTAAAAAATGATTAATTACACAGTGTTTTGATAAAATTTTAATGTTAATAAAATGTTAAGTTACAGATAGATATGATATAATTTAAGCCTATGGTCATGCGCTGGAATCCAATAGCATTCAGCACTCTAGCATATCTATATCTGAAGCTGTGTATATGCAGAGTACTGTATGTCACAATAATATGGCTGAAAACAAATAACCCAGTCAACACATGAAAGGAAATGAAAGTGACAACATTTTATTCCAACCTGGACACTTACGAAGTTGTAACTGAGCAAGAGTGGGAGAGAGTGTCACTATATGGCAAGTGGGAAGGTGCGGTGACAGGTTGTAGGGAATATGCGAAGAAGCAAAGCATGAAAGCCGAGCTAATAAAAAAAAAAAAAGAAACTGCAGATGGCTGGTCCTCCAAAATAATCTCTCCTTCCCCTACTCTCCATACATGCCATTTTATTGAATCGGCTCTCATATGCATCATGCCTAACATGAACTTTAGTCCTGGCTTTGTCATGCAGATCACCAGGTGTGCTACAATGTAGAATGTATAATATATATTATATATATTATATATATTATATATATTACACACACACACAGTGTTGAAGTGTAGATATGATAGAGCCCAGTAGGCTCAGGAATCTGTACACCAGTTGATTGGCAGTTGAGAGGTGGGACCAAAGAGCCAGAGCTCAACCCCCGCAAGCACAATTAGGAGAGTACAATTAGGCGAGTACACACACAGTCTAAATGTAGCAAAACAAAACAATGACAAAAGATGCTCCCTATACATAGGCAGAAGTGATCCACTACAACAAAACCTAACCAATCTACTATGCTTGCACTAGCCATTAAATAATTACTTACTCAAAATCATTAATATTACAGGAAAATTCAGGGTAAACTGCTTCAACATTTCTGATATTGAGACTCCCAGAGGTGTTGGTTGCAACTGCTATGAGGATATCTTGTTCAACAGCCATGGGAAATACAGCATAACCACAGTAATCCACATGCTCACCAATGAGGTTAACTCTGCAAAAACATAAAAAAAAAAAAAAGACTGAGTGAACATATAAAGACCTTTTCTGAGAAAGGCAATTGGATACTCCACAAAGTAAGATTATGATATTTCTTTGAATAGGTTTACAATAAGCAGGGTAGAATCATAACAAAACAGCACACAAAATCATAAAAATGCAAAGTACATAATTGAATGGTATTTGAAAGTTTGAATTACTGCAGAGCACTGTGGTTGAAAATCGGGATGGGGTCCAAAATGAGTGTCCATACCCGTTAGGTTCCATAGTATATTTTGAAAAATAATTTCAAGTACAGTATAATGTTTTGTATTTAATGCATTGCTTAAAAACAAAAAATGTGATTTTCGTTTACAATTTATTGATGAAGCTGTGTCATTTGTCTAACATGTGCTGCCATGTGACACATGAAGCCTTCTCAAACCCAATTATGGCATATCAACATAACAGTCTCTATAGTATATAGTCTATACTGACTGCTTCCCAGTGTTTTAAGATTTCCTGTATACCAAGCTAAAATGTAAAATTCTCTCCAGAAGAAAGTTAAATTTGACATTTAATTGAGCATGTACTGTACTGTGAAAGTATTTAGGTTAACATTCATTTTTATTTAAAATATTGATTGTCAATATACTGTATAACGAACAATATCATACCTTCCAGGAGCTCGAACATAATATTGTGGACTGCAAGAAAAGGCCAGAGAAAATTTTTCCGATATACATAATAGTCGTTGGCGTCGCTCCCCATCTACGGGAAACTCTTTAATTGGTGGACACTTGTTCATTTCTGTGAAATAAATAAAGTAATTCTAGAAAAAAAAAATCAGGTACCGACAAAAATATATGCCATTTAATAAACTTAATGCATATCAAGTTGTTTAATACTGCCATTACATCATGCAATAATTATATACACTTTTTTGTAACTATTCGCTTTAAACCAGCACGAAAGACCAACATACATTATTTTTATATACATAACTTTAATTTCAATATCAAAGAATGGAGGTGTGATGTTGTCATTTCCAAATACTTTAGCCAAGTCTAGTTAAATTCTAGTAAAAATATCACCAATTGGCTGAAAGATTTATTACTAACTTTTACCTTAAATATTGAGATTAACAAAAAATTGCATATGCTGCTTCCATTTACTGTGAACTTTCCCACCGCAACTATGAAGCATTAGTGAAAAATATTCAAGATGAAAATTAAACATTGGTTACATGATTCTGAATTTACAGATGGAATCATTGAAGGTAGAGCAATGTAAACAAATGCAGACACTATGAGCAGTTTAGAATATTTTTCCTATCAGACTACTTTCAGTATCTAGATATACAAGTTCCTTCTGCTAGTTGATTGGAGACAACTACAGGAATTTACTATAAATAATTAGGGCTTTGTAATCTTATATCATTTGAAAAAATGTTAAGTTTTCAACCAAAAATATTACTGTATTTACAAACATTAGTCTTTTAGAGACAAGGACTAATGTCAGAGACAGAGACTTTTAGAGACAAAGACTAAGCTCTGATGAGCTTAGATCGGACAACTGTGAGAAACTTTGAAAACCATCATGCAATTTTTGTTATTTGTGCTTCTCCATCACTGATAATTAGCAGTATTATCCATGAATACAGTACAGAACAATAAACTTTAATGTTATTATACTAAATACTGGCTTCATAAGCTATGTGAATTACAGTAATTATTTTAATAATTATACCTAACATCTGGAAAAATATGGAAAATTTAACAATGTTTCATAATACCCCTTCATGATACTGGTTACACTCTTTCACAACAACGCTAAATAGTATTCACCTCAAAATTTCTTCAATTTATGACAAGAAGACGTCACAACAATAAATCTATGCAGTTTCAATTATGCTAGCCTTTTCATACCAAAATTTCCAACACTACGCCTCACCATTATCTACAACCACTTATACCCTACGTATGTAAGCAGTTGCCAACCTACATATTACCTTCACAACCATTACACATTCCTAGAATTCCATCTCTTTAATTTTAATTTTGATATTGTATGTTTTTTTTATAAAGTGATGGAATGGATGAATCACTGCTTAACAAAATTGTGCTACAAGTCGGTAAATAAATCTTCACATAGCTTTACTGTGGAAACAAATGATGCTACTTGTGGATAAGAGACAATAGTTATCACAATTCCAACAATGTTATCTGTTTATGATGAGTATTCATGACCTTGTAACCTTCAACACAATGAGTGCTCAAAAACCACGAATGACAGGCATGTTATAAGAAAGAAGACTTTTGTAATACTATATAATTTACAGAATAACAGTTTATAAACAATATTACAAAACTCAAAACAATTTAAATCTATTATCACTTCTTTGTTCAAGTTGAATACAACACAAAAAATTAAAGCAAAAGCAAATAAAACAAATGATAAAGAAGATAGTGATAATTTCAAACTTTAAATGTTCTGTGATATACTGAGTGGGAGGAAAAAATGCAAATGCCACATTACCTGTGGAAGGTGAAACTTAGAAGATACGTGTAAACCAGAGGATGCTGATGGGAAAGGTTAACTCAGAAGATGGCATGGATTAAGTACAATATTCCAGTACTTCAAAATAATGTAATGCAGCAATTATTTTACCACCTCCAAATAATTTGAAATCCTGGAGAAATCCAACAGATTCAAGAGGATCCAACTTTGTCTTATCTATAAAAAAAAAATAATATTAAAAGCCTCTGAATTACATAGATTTATTTGTGTTCTAGAATTAAATTACTGAATTACCATGGCATAATTAAAGCTGTAGAAAATATTAGCAAAATTATATTTATGGAAATATTAATGACAAAACTTGAGACACTATGTCAGTATGACAATTGTTAAATAGAAAAAAAATGTCTCGCTCAAAGGACACCATTATTTAAAATACAAATTTAATAATGTTTTTATTAACAAAAAGGTAACTATTTTTGTTAATTAAACATGCACAAAAATAAAGGTAGTCAGTGATAGCCTAATCAATCATGGTGACAGGATTAAACTAGTATTTTGAGCTTCTATGTAATTTAATCATTTAAATCTTTATCTTTGGTGCCCCAATTCCACTGGGAAAAGAAACCTGAAATACTTCTCAAGAAGTTCTACAAGTTAGTTTTACAAATGTAAAAAAATAATAATACATTACTGTATTATTTTGATAAAACAAAAAACACTACAGATCATGATGACTAGGTTAACCAAATTTTAATTCAGAGAGAGATCCTAGCAATGTATTTTCTCTTAAATTTCTAATGACAATACTAATTTTGTATCTAAATAGAACGCCGATGAATAAAGCACTTGATATGATCCAATTACGTGTAATTATCTCCGTGATAATTTATCTTGAAAACTTCAATAAATGGAACCCCTACAAATAAAATTTATCAAATTAGAATGTTAAACCAGTATGCCCACGGAAACAAAACGTCAAAATCTATTTAAATTATATACAAAAGGGTATTAACTTTACCACAATAACCGCACACAGGACTGTGTTGAAGAACGTCTTGTAATGCCAAAAAGTCTTGCAAAAGTCTTACCACCTCATGTTTAGATCTGGAAAATGTAAGAGAGTGAAGCACCCACCGGCGTCACCATGAGTGGCACCCAAGAGCCACGGTGTAGATATTATAATTTCCGGCATCGCGTCTAGTGCCCCTCAACACCTGTGTTTGTGTTTACGTCAGCTGACTTTGTATTCTTTCTGGCCTCGGCTTCGGCCACTAAGCACTTCTATTTATCAACCACAGGTGTGATGGTTTACCACTACTCATATCTCAAGTAATTTATATATATACCTAAGTATAAAAACTATTGAAAACTGTAATGAAATAACATATCTAAAGTTATACAGCTTTACTATAATAAAAATTATAACATCGAAAACGCATTCAAATAAATTTCAAGTTCAAGTTCAAGTATGTTTATTGAGATAAGCAATAAATACATCTCAAAGGGATAGAGTAGCTTAGGCTATTTCTACCCCCCTCTACTTCAAGTCCCTCAAGGGGCGCACAAATTCAGTGAGTACAAATAGACATATAACAGTACAAGAATCCCATTTAACATTGCATACAGCAAGTACAGCATATAATTGTTACATTCTTGGGGCAAAATTCTTGTAGCTCCTAAGTATACTGTCTATTATACCATTATCACACATCCAAACAATTTGATGTGGTACACTATTTATTTCCTTATTTCTATATTTTTCAATAAGGTGACACTCTAATACATAATGTTCTAAGGTGTGGGCGTACGGCATACTACATAATTTACACTCCTTATCTTTTTCACTGACATCAACACCGTATTGCCAGATATATTTGTATCCTAATCGTAATCTCATGTAAATTGAATCCTTCCAAGTAGACTTTCCTTTACCATAAGTGAAGGACGAATTTGTATTTATTATTGAATAATTCTTAAGTGTGTTACTACTGTCCACCATTGCCATTCTCTTTATCATTTCTTCACCCTCCTGAATCACCTTGAGTCTTGTTTTTATTTGTTTCAAGGTTAACTGACATACAACATCAACAAGAGTTTTTTCAGTGGCTCTCTTCGCTATGTCATCAACTACCTCATTCAACAGTATTCCCACATGTGAAGGGATCCACATGAATCTTACTTTATACCCAGTTTTTTCTAGTCTCTTAACATTCTCTCTACACTCTATCACAATATTCTGATATACTGGGCGTCTGCTATTTAAAGACTCTAACGCTCCTCTGCTGTCAATAAAGAAGCAAGCATTTTTACCACATTTGACTACTTCCTGTAATCCTGCTAATACTCCTTGGAGTTCAGCCTGCGTTGAAGAGACATTGTCAGTTAAGCGGCGTCCAATAACAGTATCTACAGTGCCGATGTCAGTGTACTCCCTGATCAAGACTCCACATCCTGCCTTCCCATCCCTAGCTACTGACCCATCACAATATACATGTAGAGTGTTTTCCGTAGGCAGTTTTCTAATTATACAATCATATGTTGCCCTCAGCTCTCCTATTTCATACATACTTTTTTTCTTATGCAAGGGAGTAATTACTACATCTACATTACAATCCTCCCATGGTGGTGTAAATTTTCTCTTGGGCACAGCAATACACTCTGTAATAACATCATACTTTATAACATTATAACATAATTTATTCATATATACTCTCTTCTTCATCATACACTGTTCACTACTTCCCACCTTTTGAACCGAGAGGATTAATTCATTAGCTCCCCCACCTCTCATTAATCTAATGGCAGAGGCTACATTTATCTCTGAAATTCTATCCCCAATACTCTGCAGATTCATTACTCCATCCTCATTTATCTGAAATCATAGCAGTACGCGTATCTTCTTGGGCATCCTAAGATAATTCATCATTGCTTTCATTTTGTACCTTCTCCAACTTGCCCATCCTACCTTTACCAAAACAAGAAATGACAGGTGCAGCATAATCAATAAGAGATCTTACAGTACTCAAGTATAACATTCGTAGCACAGGGACTCCCACTCCCTTTCCACAGCATGCCAAAGCCTTCAGAGGTTGTAATCTCTTCCGACATTGACCCAACAGTCTGTTCATCTCAGCTTCCAAACTCTCATGGGTATATCCAACATATATGCCTAAATATTTATATATATTAACTCTCTCTATATTTTTATCGTTTATTTTCAAAACAATGGGGCTCCGACTTCTACATTCAAACTTAGTTTTGTTTTCATTAACCACCAATCCCATATGGTGACACAGGTTTCCGAAATTGTCCAACACTGTTTGAACCTTTGAAATATCTTTGCCCTGAAACAAAATATCATCGGCATATATGATCGGAGTTACCCCATTTGAGTATCTCTCAGATGCTATCTTATTCATTAGTACATTAAACAGGGTGGGACTCAACACTCCTCCCTGAGGTGTGCCGAGTTCAAAAGACCTCACACCTGACATACAACCTTGATACCACACCTGAGCCTTCCTTTCGTAAAGATAATCCCCTATCCAGCGCAATAATTTCCCTTTAACACCAAGACTAGCTAATTCATATAAAATAACCTCTTTGTTGGCTTTATCAAAAGCTCCTTGTAAATCAATGTAATCAAATTCATTTAATAATACATCATTTTGCCATTAGCTAGACATTTAATAATACATTCAGAGGTACTTTTTCTTCCTTTCAGAGGAGCCTCTGAACCCGAACAAATTACTAGACAGCTGATCACCTATTATATATAAAAGTCTATTTAAAATGATCCTCTCCATCACCACGCACAAACCCACACAGGTTAAAGATCACAGGTCTGTACTCTCCAAATTGGCTTTAGGGATTGGGATGATACAATATGCTTGTTTCAGAACTGGGAATACTGCCCTCATAATAACTAGTCTATTCAACCAGGTCTAAAAGTGATGGCGATTTTCGTCATAGTGATCAAGTTCATCTCATTAACATAAGAACATAAGAACATAAGAACAAAGGTAACTGCAGAAGGCCTATTGGCCCATACGAGGCAGCTCCTATTCTATAACCACCCAATCCCACTCATATACTTGTCCAACCCGTGCTTGAAACAATCGAGGGACCCCACCTCCACAATGTTACGCGGCAATTGGTTCCACAAATCAACAACCCTGTTACTGAACCAGTATTTACCCAAGTCTTTCCTAAATCTAAACTTATCCAATTTATATCCATTGTTTCGTGTTCTGTCCTGTGTTGATACTTTTAATACCCTATTAATATCCCCCCGGTTATGTCCATTCATCCACTTGTAAACCTCTATCATGTCACCCCTAACTCTTCGCCTTTCCAGTGAATGCAACTTAAGCTTTGTTAATCTTTCTTCATATGAAAGATTTCTAATTTGGGGAATTAACTTAGTCATCCTACGCTGGACACGTTCAAGTGAATTTATATCCATTCTATAATATGGCGACCAAAACTGAACTGCATAATCTAAATGGGGCCTAACTAGAGCAAGATATAGCTTGAGAACCACACCAGGTGTCTTGTTACTAACGCTGCGATTAATAAATCCAAGTGTCCGATTTGCCTTATTACGAACATTTATGCATTGATCCTTTTGTTTTAAATTCTTACTAATCATAACTCCCAGATCCCTTTCGCAATCCGACTTCGCAATCACAACACCATCTAGCTCGTATCTTGTAACTCTATCATCATTACCTAACCTCAGAACTTTACATTTATCAGCATTAAACTGCATCTGCCAATCCTTTGACCATTTCAAAACCCTATCTAGATCAAC